AGATTAATTCATGTCAAATTTTCAATAATTTTAATTGAAACGTACATTTGTTCATGTATAAAGTCACAAGATACATACTTAGGTATTACAATACAAGCTTCTACTTTTCTACTTCCTTTATATGCAGTGACACTTCTAGGGTCTATCTTTTTACTCAGTCCTACTTGCGAACGTGTGATAGAAGAACATACGATACACCAAAGTGCAAGTTCCAAAGGGTCAGCGCAGAACTCCACGGAGATGGTGAACTTTAACTGGGAACGGGGACTTCAATGAGCAAAGTGGCAAGGGTAGTGCAGGCAATGCAGTAATGAAGCAGTTTTAAAGTATCCCCACCCAAAATGCTAACAGCAGAAATATTTTAGAGGGAAACCTGGGATCAAGGTGGTTGAAGGGAGACACCCAGCACTGTCCTGCCCCTCCTCCTCCTCCCCACCATGAACCAAAGTAACAGGGTGCAGCTGCACTGTACGGCAGGGCACCAAGGCAGAACACTGGGAAACCGCAAATGAGAGCCTTGGGCCTTGTCACATCCAGAGCCCCGAGACCACACTATAGTAACACGAACAGAATGTCCCCGCCTCTGCCACCCGTCTCCACAGCCCGGGAGGGGCCTCCGCCCTCTTCTCCACAGCCGGGGAGGGCCTCCGCCCTCTTCTCCACAGCCGGGGAGGGGCCTCCGCCCTCTTCTCCACAGCCGGGGAGGGCCTCCGCCCTCTTCTCCACAGCCGGGGAGGGCCTCCGCCCTCTACAGGAGTGAGGGTGGAAGAGAATCCCTGCAGACTGTCAGCTCCCTCGTGGTCAGCCGAGTCGGGAAGTTCCGCCGTCCTCACAGGATGGTAGCTCACTTACATAGCAAGCCTGAAATCTGCACAGTAGCTTGCTCTGTAAAAAGATCTGAAATTATCTCCCAGAAAGCTCGCAGGGCGTGGTAGCCAGAGCTATCACGAGAAGCGAGCTGTCTGAATTCGGACTCCTCTAGGGTCAGAAAGCCCTGCACATCCCATCTCTGGGCCTCCGCACACGTAACACAGCACCGGCCTTGTGAGTAGCTTAACTGCAAAGCTAACCTGAGAGCCGGGTACAGCGGCACATGCCTATGATCCCAGAAGTGTAGGAGGATGAGGCAGGAAGATCACAAATTCAGGCCTAGCCTGGGCAATCTAGCAACCGTCCTAGTTATTTCTCTTGTTCCTGGCAATAAGTACCCAATACCCACAATGTAAGGAAGGAGAGGGTTACTCTGGCTCATGTTTCAGCCTGCACTCGTGTTCTAAGGCAGGACTATCGTGGCAGAGGGGGATGGCAGAGCTGAGCTGCTCAGGAGCTGGCCAATTCGAAACAGAAAGCAAAGGGCGAAGTAGGGGAGGACTCCAAACAGACACGAACACACAAGAGCCTTTCTGTGGCACGCTGCAATCAAACTGCCAGAAGTACAAAACTGAGAATTTAAAACACTACAGGAGAAAAAAAAACATCAAAATAATGTATACATACAAAAGTTAGTTAAGACAGTTATACTGCTAATTTCTCCTGGTTCATTGGAAAGAAAGGTCTGTGCTAATATTGTTTGGACAATTAAATGACAGTATCTTGTACTCTAAGTAATTTAAAGATAACAACATGCAATGTATTAACCATTGTTACCCTCCTATTATCTTGTTTTCCAAATATTTTCTGTTTAAAATTAAAAAAAAATCATCCAATCACATTTTAAGGTATCTCCATCAAGCTTCCAGTGTGAGCCTTGCATCCTCGTGAAAGCGCCCCTGCACTGACCGGACAGAGGGTCTCTGGCACGCAGAGCTGCCTGGATTAATTCCTCATCTTCATTTGCACTGCTTCCCTCCCCAGGAGCACTACCACTGTGATCGCCTTTCCGCTGTAGTATTTTACACAACAGACTTTAGAAAAGGCCTGAAACACTGACAACCCCAGCGACTTGGTTTCAGCTCCACCTAATCAGTCTTTAATCATGAGCCTTCCTCTCCCGCACACCAATCCGCATCACCCGCTCCCACTGCCTGGAACTCTCTTTTCAAGCTCTAAAGCTCTTCTAAGTATATTTTCTGACCGTGCACCATTCTAGAGAAAATTATCTCGGGTATCCTTCCAGTTCCAGATACTGCATGTATTAATCCAGGTGTTTCCCAGGACCCCACCTTCGGGCAGGCGTCTGTTTCTGCTTTGTCAGCGCTCCCCAGGAAATGTGCAACCCCCAGGGCTCTGCTCTTCACAAACGTACTGCTGTTTGTCAAATCCTTTATCAATTCTCTATGCTTAATTAAACCAAATTTCCACTGCACACTACCAAGTAGATATTCCACCGGCATCAAAAACAATTCTACCATGGGCACCTTAACTTCATATAGCGAACTGAACTCCTCTGCCACCAAAACTAAAGCACGAAGTCTCTTCCTTTTGAGTTTCACATCTTGATTAGCACAATATCTAGCCAGCATTTAAAAGGCAGTGGAAAAGCTGAAGGAAACATGGATACTGCATCAGGTGATATGAATGAAAACATCGTGTGGCCTGGATATTGAGGCAGGTTACAAGAAAAACTGGATTAAGTGCTGATGTATACAGCACCTGGAAGTAAGTATCGTTAACAATGTGTAGTAAACATCACTTGTGGCTACTGCCGCAATAGGATGTGTTCAATTCACTTCCAGTCTTCATATTTAACAAAATTGGCTACATAACTTTTGCACTGACCTCTATCTTTAAAAAACCAAATACTGGCTTCAATAACACTTCTCACAACCCTGAACTTGTGCATGGATACATATAACGTGTAAGACTACAGCAAGACAAGAGAGAGAGTGGAGATGAAATCATATTAACATCACTTCTGGAGAACTGTTTGGTATTCTAGAGTCAGTAAAAGCAAAATAAAACTGGTCTTCTCGGGACTATCTGAAAAGTATTATTTCTTTAGAAATTGTGGAATTTAGGTAACTGGAGTTTTTATCTACCGAGTTTACTATGAAATCCCGATGCATGGGACTGTACTTAACTAGAGAGCTGAGTCCAACTGTTGGTATGCAAATCTCAGGACCATGTAACTCACAGAAGGAAAGACAAGAAGGAAAATAAGGACATGGCTTCTCATTGCCAAGATGACATTTCCACTTCTATAAATGGAAGCCATACATGGTCCAAGAGCAAAAGAAGCTTAGGCACACAAGGGAGTACCGGGCTGCACCATTAAATGAAGATCTGAGGCACCCTGTTTTTCTGTCCCTTATCATTCTTCAAGGTCTCTAAGGTTGTGTTTGTGCTGTGCTACCCATTCTTTCCATTAGACGTTCGATCCAAGTATTGCCGAGTCAGATTCTCCCACAAGCTGAATTAGAGTAGAAACTACAGAAACTATGCTCCATTAATGAGAGCTCTAAGGAGAAATCTCTTTGCTCTGTTGATAAAGTTCTTAAATAGTTCTGTAGATTCTGTGAAATGCCTTTTATTCTTTTAATGATCTTTTAATTATTTCAACAGTGTTTACGTAGGCACTGTTATAAAGTTTTATGCATACATAAAATGTATGTATATATACACACATATAAAAATATAAAGAATTTCACTTTAAACTTTAAAATAAACTAGAGAAACTAGCCTGGATTTATTGTGTACTTTTAAAATAAAATATTTTCACTTTTATCTGGTATCTAGAAAATATTTTTGAAGGGTCACTGTGTATATACGCATATGTATATATACATATATGAAAATGCATACATATTATTGGTGTAGATATTAAAAAATAATTACTTCAGGTTAGCAAGAAAAGAAGGCAGTAAATGACGAGGGTATATTTACATATGGTGAGAATTTATGTTCCATACAATACATTATATTCTCTCAGACTATCTGATTTAACTTTCAGTAAGAAAGGGAAAAGGAAATAGAAAGTATCCTCAGCTGAAAGTAGAATGGTTACTTGTTCCTGGGAATATTTATACTTATTTTTATAAACATATCCTCAAAATTTTATAATAATATTAAGAATGAACACTGAAACTGCAAAACAATATAATAATAAAATAGGAGAAGAAATACCACATCTTATAAATGTTAGCTAAAATAGCAGTAAAATAAGAAACTGTAGATTGAAATATGAAAATAATATGTAACTATTATGACTACAAATAAGTAAAGAGTTAGGGCGATGAGAATTATTTTACATAATGACTGCACAGCGGTAATAGCTCGTAATTCCACGTCCCTGGAATGGTGCACATTATTTAGCATAATAGTCATGCCTGAAGGACAGCTATAATACATAGTAAAGAGGACCATCTCTTCACTCAGACAGCCTGAGTTTTAATTCTAACTCTGCTTCTCACTCTATGATTTCACAGTTCATAATTCTGTGTCTCAGTAACAGTTAATGCCTCAAGAAGTCTATGAAGATTAAACAAGTTGTTGAGTATAAAACATGAGAACTGTTTCAGGTATATAATGAGAGATCAATACATGGTAGTTCTTACTTTATGTCAATAAAATACAACCTAGAAAATATATTCTTTATGGCTTACATTTTTCCATGTTGCAGGGGTTTAAAAATCCATACTTTCCCAAATCTGTATAATATTCACTCATGAGAAAGTGAATATGAAATAATTATCTTTTATAAGCTAATTATGTACTGGAAATTTGTAAATTATGTATCTATATCTGGTACCTGCTATGAAAATATTAAATTTAGTGACATATTCAATTGTTACATTTAACTATAAAATATATCCCAGAAATACAACAAATTTTCAATGAAATTAATAGTGCTCAATGCACTTACACTAATTTTAGTAAATATATAAAGATAAAGTATTTGATGTCTTTAAGTTTTGTTTAAGGTACAAAGGAAATGTGCCATGATAAATGAAATAAACATTTTAAGTAAAAGACTGTTAGATCTGTAATAATAAAATTTAAGATTGTTCCTCTCAGGCTCAGGAGTGACATTTTTCTACACAGCAGGTATTGTCTCAGATTACCTGAGAACTGATCATGCGCTGAGACGAGCGGGCAATGTTGGCAGGTAGACCAAAGAAACTAGGTTTGTCATCCTCTGGAAGTTTCTCAATGACAGCACGATAGTCCTAAACATAAACAAGTAAAGAAGGTTTTCAATCAGAGACTGAATTTATAACCACTGAAATTAGAAAAAAAGGAGTATCATGAAGTATTAGTTTTCATTATTTATATTTTCCATAAATGCACACATTTTCTAGCTTTCTCATGCTTTCCATGTATATATAAGTGTGTGTCTATACACACACATGCACATACACATAAGCACACACTTTTTTTTGAAAGCTGCCTTCAAACTCATGGCGATTCTCCTGCCTCAGCCTCTGAAGTGCTGGGATTACAGATATGTGCTACCATGACTGACCCCAACCTATATTTTAATTCACTTATCTACAGAAAATATTCTGTCACTAATACTTCTTTTGTGTATCAGTTATTTGATACTACACTGTTTTCTTATCCCAACTGCCCACACACCAATGGACCCCAAATTGCTAAAACCAAATACATTTGAGTGCTATGCCCACTACATGTCAAGCTTTAGATGAGAAATGAAATTCAGACCATGGATTCGTTCATGTGGGCCCAGAGACAGGGACTAATTTTTTTTTCATAAAGAGGCAAGTTCATGTTAAGGTAAGAGCTGTCTAAATATCCCTAAACATGTCTGCAGGGTACAGCGGGGAGATGCAGAGCTATCTTTGCTCATGCTTGGCAACCAGCACTGAAGAATGTTCAAGGAAAAAGTTGCCCTGTAGAAAGCCCGAGACCTGTAATGTGTCCCATTTTGAAAAGTCAGGCTGTCTTTGAAATTCTTCCTCTCTTTCGCTTGCATTTGAAAACTTCTTCATGGTGTTCAATCACAACATGCACACGTGTCTGTCTGTGTACATACACGTGCACACAGCCTTGGGTGTACGCATCCTCCTGGGACTCTTGACCTTCTCCCATCCAAGTCAGAGAAAGCGAGACACTGATTCTCATAAATCATCATGTAAATTTAGAACTATTGTGCTGCAGAATTACACAGATGGTTCATTTCCAAATAAATATGAAGCCTTCTCATCTGAATTGGTTCGAGTCTATCGTCTATGAGGCACTGACATTGTTTGACAGTTATGTTATAAAAGAATGAAAGAATTTTCTTGAAAAATATTTGTGGGGAAAAAATAACAATACTGAGAAAACAACGTAATTCAGTACTTATAATCTTCCCATGAACAGTGAAGAAATGCATTATAACACTAGTCAATTTAAAACTCCTGACTTGGGGGAAAATAAACGAGAACTGAAATATTTGAGCTACATTTATTACTACCTTCTGGAAATGATGACTGCATTTTAGGAAGCTTTCATGTGATGAGTTGAAGCAAAAGCTACAACTGCTAAAATAAATCCACATAAACAAAAATGTGGCTGTGAAAGACAGATAAAGTGAATGCCTCTTATAACTGGGAACAGACATTTGTTAAATAACACTTCACTTCTTTCCTATTTCACATCCTTCACATTCTTCAGTGTATCAGAGTATACTCCTGCCTGGTACAAAACAGCAAATCCCCTATTCCAGCTCTTAACAGCAGTGCTCGATGCTTTCGAGATTTTCTTGGCTATTCCCAGATTTCCATAAACACTGCCCTATTATTACTATGATCAATCAACCTTCAGGGAAAAAAAAATCCAAAAGCCTGCAGGATGCTTTACTAGAGTTTAAAACTCAGGCCGTGAACTGAAAGAAGTCATCCATACTATCAATAATTACCTGTACCACTGAAAAGAAATAACATACTTAATGTAAGAAATGATTCAATTACAGGGAAAAAACTGAGATTCATTTTACCTACCAAAATGCTGCAGGACTTTGGCAGAGACACAGAATATGGAAAAATGCTTTTCTTGTTCCTTTGGTTTAATACATCCATTACTGAAGAATTAAAAAACTGCTTCAAGTATGACTGAAGAACTCTAAGGTCAAAGTAGTTATCTATACGTCCTCCATAAATAGCATTTTCAAGTAAGCCATGTACGAATTCCCATTGTATATCTTTGGAACCTGTAATTTAAAAACTCATTAATTTCATTTCTAAAATCTCTATATTAACTATGAACTCTGTCTACATTCATGAAATGGTAGTATATATTTAACAACAATGAAATCATTTATTTATATGATCATTAATATTAACAGTAGGTGATATTTATGGAGATTATTTAATCAAGTAAGAGTTTCCAAATATTTTGCATTTATAAATTCTTTGTAGCAAATAGAAATACTAATATTAGCCAGTTACACGATGGAAAAAATTGATACTTAAGGAGTTTCAGCTATGAAAACAAGAGAAAAAATTCATACAGTCCCACAGATATGGGTTAGAAAAGAGGCATCACAAACCAGAGTCATCCTTTTCCCCAATATATAATAACCTTTATAAAATCTGCTCTTCAACATGTCATAATTTACACAGCCAGCTATCCATTTCCTATTCGGGAAGAGAAATGTAGTATAAAAAATAAAATGGGCCGGACACAGGGTAATTCCAGCAGGGAGATCACAAAATCAAGTCCAGCTTGGAGAACTCAGTGGCTTAGAAAAAACCACATCTCGACAAAATGGGGGGCCCATAAGGTCCTGGATTTAATCCTCAGAACCCCTGACACACATACACAAACTCACCTGCAATGGAACGTTTTTCTGTAAGACACGTCATTTTGCAACAAAGACATTCTCATCATCATAATTTGATGATGTTAAAATACAAGAAATAAATCTCAGATCTTTAGTGAATACAGAGAACCTTAACAGTATTTATAGGCAGCCTAGCTATATTTAAACTAGGTAATTTTTTCTTAGCATTACTAAGTTAGTTCTATTTTACCACAATAAAATTCTAAGATAATTACAAAAACTGACAGTTAACATTGACACATTATGCTTTGAGGCATATGTAATTCATACGGCCTCCTGTATAAAGCGTACCTATATTGTACAGAAATAAAGTTGTTCACTACCTATGTGTTACTATCAATAGTGGCTAAATAGCAGGACACTTCACCAAAATTAAATTTTCTTCATGTACCTTGATACTAACTGAATGATAAATTAGTAATGAATACGGAAGTCACTGGTAAGTATGTAAGCATAAAATACAAAACCCACAGTATATACTTTTTAACTTATAAAAAGGAAATGATACTATAAGAATTATATAGAAATTTTACAAGAAAATCTTTTGTTCTTATACTCATTGTTCTCAAATTTTATGTTGTTCAATACAAAAGCAAAAGTCAAATCAGTAATGAGCCAACAACTGTAATACACAATACATTAAATGTCTTAAATTTTAAATATTTTATGCCTGTTTTCATTCACATTTCTTAACAACTGAGCAAACAGAACCAATTATTATTCCCATTTTACAGATCTAGAAACTGGGGCTTACTGGGTGAAAAAGTTACATCTAGGTCCCATGGCTATTAATCTTTACCAAATCCTGTGATGGAACTTTTTCCCTTTTCTGAATTGAATTTTAAATGCATTGAGTCCCTTGATATCAGGAAATTTTTAATCATATTTTTTCCATAAGGCTCAATATTTCATTTTTAAGTATATGCCTTTCAAGGTTCCATCTCAACTTCGAAGGGCACTGATGAATTCTTCATGCTTCGGTGCCTTCAACTAGAAAACAATTCTAACAATATTTGCCCTGAGTGGTATTATAAAAGAGTAACAAACATTCAAAAGCATTTCAGAAAATTATACTAGTGCCAAAATGGTGAACCTTTTAGAGATGAGTGCCTAAGTTGCAACCTAGAACCCACTTATTTACTGCAAAGCGCAAACACTGCAATTAAACCTGAACACTGAGATTTTAGTTTAGAAAAAACTCATGCATTAACAACTTTTGCCTTAAAAGAAAAACAAATATCACTTGTGCCACAGGTACACCACCACTGCTCTACTGTAAGCCCTTCACAAATGTCAAAATAAATATTAAAAACAACAGATTATGAAAGCCAGAAATTTAGTTATCCTTGCATGAGGCAGGGAAATGTTGGGTTATATGTAGAAAGAGAGAGAGGGTAGATGCTTTCTGAAATGATAGCAATTTTTTGTTTTTATTTCAGGCTAGTTACATAGGTATGATTTATGCAAATGTACTAAGGTGTTCTTTTTGCACACTTTTTTGATGTATGGTTCAAGAAAACATTTAATTAAAAAAATCCACCTGATTACTATTTGGCATTAACTAATAACTGAACAAGTTATTTTTATTTTGTTTTGTTTTTTGAGACAGGGTCTCGCTGTGTAGTTTAGGCTGGCCTTGAATTCATTATGTAGTTGAGGATGGCCTCAAACTCATGGCAATCCTCCTGTCTCAGCCTCCCATGTTACAGGGATTACAGGCATGCGCCACCACACCCGGCCTGAACAAATTGTGGTGTAGCAATTCTACCCTAATATATGTGTTCCACAGAAGCATACTCATATATTCATCTAAAGCTATAGCATTATTACTCAATATTACTCACAATCACCCCAAACTAAAATCTACCCACAGATCCATCAACATAAGCATCTATAATCACACAATAGCACGCAAAACAGCAGTGAAAATTATCTACAACTATTTGCCACCATATGCATGAATCATATATAACCTTACTGGAAGAACCTAATCACTAAAGCAGACAAGCTATATGACTCCAGTTTTACACAAAAGGCAAAACTCACACAATAAGGCATCTGATGTTTACATCAAGAGCTAGAGATAGTGAAGTTAGGGGATAGTAGTAACTGGAGAATAGCACTGCACAAATTGCAATCTGGATTACTAGTAAAGTTCTGTTTCTTCATTAAGTTGCTATCCACAGAGATGTCTTCAGTTTGTGGAAATTTTCTTAAGCTAACATATATTATACTTCATCACAAAGTTTACTTTCATAAACATAAAGACTGAAATGGAGCTTGGCCATAACCTAGCTGTCAATCTCATCCTTATGCCAAACAAGTCACAGAAAAAAATCCTGAAGTCTGTGATTCTGTTACAGATATTAAGGATATAGATAGTAACAAAACACAGACCTTGCTTTAATGTATATTATGCTGTAGTGAGAGGAGAAAAAATAAGAAGGTATCAGTACGCTAATGTGTTAACAATGAAAGAGTAAGAAAATTGTTAAAAGGTCATTACATATTCTGTGTTCAGTGCTAGTAAGCTTTTCTAAACAAGAATCTTTTAAACTGGGATGTAACTGATAGAAGAAAAAGCGTAGAAAGGCTTGTGGGAAAAGCATTTCAGACAAGGAAGAACACCTACTAAAACCTACGAGTAGTAAAAAGCCTGGCTTGCTGAGGCTCAGAAAGGCAACAAGAATGGCTGTATGTAAAGAAACTACATGATTTGGTTTTCTTTTCTAGAACATAAACTAGTTTACATCATGGAAGATATTTCAAACTGTGCTAACATAGAATCACCACTAACTAACCTAAGACTTTAATGAAGTTGAAAAGAACTGAACAGAATTAAATAGAAGGGACAGAAACGCCAAAGCCCTGCTGGCTGAGGATGAGAAGAAAAGAATCCGCGGTGACTTGTTGCCTTTGAGCTTGAAAAATTGCATGAATGGTGCCGTTATCTACTACAGGTGGTCAGACTCGCGGGAGAGTGTTTCGGCCAGGTGGCAAGGCTGGGGGTGGAGAGGGAGTCAGTCATTTAGATATTCTTTGCAACGAGCACAGTAATTGGTAGGGCACACTGGCCCTTAAGAGGCAAAGAGCTAGATGGCCTAAGGGGATCAAGTTATAAGATCTCACTTGCTGCACTACTTCAGCGTATTGCTGGTACCTCTACTCCTACTTAATAATTCACCTGAGGCTCTACAAACCCTTAGTGCTGACCTCCTACCGCTATACTGAAAGTTAAGAGTTCCTGTGAAAGAGATTTGAGTAATTAAGGTGAAGCCTCAAATTTTGGGGGCCACAAAGTGAAGACAGGCCTCTCCAGTTTTCTGCTTCCTGAGAGCTAAAAAGTGATCAGAAAATGATGGGTTTCATCAAAACCAATGTCTGTAATATAGAAATCCTCAGATCAGCCAGGCATGATAGTTAAGACATAAAAAACAAAAGCAGCAAAAAAAATCAAATTTTGTGATAAGATGTTGAAACACTTCTGAAAAACCAAACTGTTAATTATACTACAAATCAAACATCATTAACCCTAGAGATAAAAATTTTCCTTCTTAGAACTTACCGTCAAAGAGTCTATCGATAATATGGTACCCAGCTCGAAGATCTGATAAAGAAAACTCATAAAACTTGGTCCAGCCCTATTAAAACAAATATAAAAAGTATTAAGCAGTATTTAAAGACACATATGTATACATTGCTGTCCTTATAATTATAAAGAAAATGCTCAATAGATACTAAAAAAATACAACTATACTAAATAAAATACAACTTACAGGAATTTTTAATAAGACCAATATAAATCGAAGACAGCAATAAATGCTCTTTCAAAAGCAAATCTACTGGCTCCCCCCAATTTAAAAGTACTGTATAATACCATATTATAATACCATATTAGTTTTTATCACTTAGGTATAGATAAAAGAGTGAGAACAAATTGGTATAGCTTTTTTATTCACCAGGCAGTACACAATGAGATAGTTTATATAATTTTATGCTTCAAGAACTATATATTTTCTCCAAAAACATGAAAACAGAAATATTGCCAGGGTCCCAAAAGCATGTAATCTTGCTTTCTATACATTTATTCATACTGAATCCATAAACCAGTCAGGTAGCAAATAGTTATAATATCTATACTTTTAAAAAAACTTCCATAGAGATCTACACATTGTATATAAAATAATAATAAGCATGAAAACAATTTCTGTGGAGCTTCCAGTAACTGTAATTGGACAGTAAGTTCAAACTGCAATGTTTAAGTCTGGGGTAGTATTTATGAATACTGATACAAACTTTACTTATTCCTCATTCAAAAAATGTGTGTTTTACAGGTGAAGCTCCAGGAATATAAGCATAAACCCTTATGCAGCTTTCAGTCAAATGCAGGAAGGAGTGAGGTAAGAAAGTCACTCAAATATATGTATGACTATAAACTATAAGAAATTTGGTAACAAGAACCACGCCTAGTATTTGTAAGCAAGAGATCCGAACCGATCCAAGAGGGGAGGTACGTCACCCTGACAGGGGAAAGGGTCGATCGATGGAAAGACAAAGTTAGACGGGTCTGAGCAGTGCTAGGGAAACAGTAACAGTTCCGACTAGAGCTGTAATTGTAATGGAAAGCAAAGACACCCGAAGGACCCTTGTTCAGAAAGGGTTCTAAGCGCACACCCATGGACAGTGGTCCCTCACTGACACGTGGAACAATGACAGAGCGTGGGAAGGAATCAGGAGAGCAAACGTTTAGCAGAACTTCTAACAAAACTCATCACACAACTTGTGGAATGCCTGCTATATACCAGGCACTGTTTTGGACAAGGACAACACAGAGATGAACAAACTAAAATCTGTGCTCTTGGCGAGCTTATAGTTTAGTACTTGATCCAGAATACGAGGACTTTCAATCATTTTTGACAGGCAGAATGAGTAGTTAGATAGGTAAGTCCAGAGCTTAGAGAACTGCACTATATAAAGTACAACACTATCTCTATACTTCATGTACCAGCCAGGATTAATTGCTACATTCAGCAAAACATTAATGTAATGGAAGTTAGGGCACAGGCTTTAGGGGAAGGTGGGCCTGGACATCTCAGAACTCAATAGCATTCTAGGTATGATACCTTGAGCAAGTTAATTATCACTGAGAAGCACTTTTCTCCTGTGTAAATGAAGATAATAAGGGTATACTCCATAGAGATGTGGTATGAAGATGCTCTTATTTTGACATTTCATATGAAGTAAAGCAGTATTATTATTTATTTCAATTGTTTGATAAAGTGTTTCCTAGACTAATACATGCCAGTCAGACATGTACCTCCAAGTTTATACTATCTCATTTAATCCCCACAACAAAGGCAAACCTAATCATGAATCTCATCCTACAGTTAATAGTGTTTATCGGGAGTTAAAGTAGTTTGTCCAAGATCTGGGAAATTCTAGTCAAGACTCAAACCCAAGTCTAACTTCAGAACTTATGGTCTAACTTCAGAACTTACGTTTATATTTTGAAATGTAACTGAAGTACAGACAGAACCTAAAAGGCAAGAAAGTTGTGGAGGGCTTTGAGGAGATATAGTAGTTTCCCAGCAGAAACGGGAAAAGTAAAAAAAGAAAGAAGAAGATGATAGAGGAAAACTTAAAGATGGGAGTGGGTACAGTCTGTGGCTGAGACGGGTATCTGGCAAGAAGGGAGCACCAGTGCCGGGCACGACCCTCGACAACGAAAAGCTCAGTTCAGTGGGTGCAGTGAGAGTGGCAGCTAGAACCTATCATGGGAAAGAACGGGACGGGCTGAAAATCTTAAAGTGGCTCTTCGTGAGTAGAGAGCCACAGGACAAGTAGGAAACGGGGCCTGAACGAGGCTGAGGACGTAGCGGACGTAGGGGCCTGAACGAGGCTGAGGACGTAGCTTTTCTTCTGGGTCATGGTCAGAAATCAGCACAATTTCCCCGTGCACGATATAACACATTTGATGGATTTTAATGCAAAGTAAGAAAATAATCAGACTTACACATTAGAGAGAATTCTGGCTACTGAATTTAAAAAAACAGGAAAAGTAGTTACAGTAACTATAAAGCTGTGCAGGAGAGATGATCAAGCTTTGGAAAAAAGGCTGAAAAGCAGCACACAGGCTTGAACTGTGCTCTGGAAGCAGAAGCTACATTATTTGATAATGGACTAGGTAGAGAAATCAAGAAAAAAAAATCAAAAACAACTCCCTGAGCTCCACCACGAGGAAGGAGATGGGGCAAGGAACAGCGGGGAGTCAGCCGTTGAAGTCTGAGATGTCTGAGACACAAACCCTAAGCATGACATCTAGCACTCATGCAGTGCTTACGGTGGATCGTAATTATCACTGATATTCTAACTCAATGAAATCTGAAGTAGCGGAAATACTGAAATGGAGATATGAATTCATTATTGTGAGCTAATCTGTGACTAAATTGTAAAACTATTCTAATAAAATGTAAGCCTTTGACTATACCCAAGACACATTCTTAATCACCTGTGGAATATAATTTCTTCTTTCTTGACACGCAGCATGAAACCACGCAAAACTAAAGAGCGCGTGAGCCCGCTGTATGTCATCCTTTTTGCTAATTTGCTCAGGAGTCCAAGACTCGTAAGTTCGCATTAAATTCTTCTTCAGACCTGGAGGTGACTAAAGGACAGAAAGTAACAGACACTGTACTGCTGTACATAGGACAAATGGAATGAATCTGTACTGCATTTAAGGAACATATTTAAGGACGTATTTTAATAGTGTTTCATCAACTTCCAAGTCTGAATTATTTCGTTACTTTAAAATGTACTAGTACAAAACTAGTTCTAAATGCCTAAATGAGAACTACTTTTTCATACCAAAAGATTGCATAATGCATATTCAAAATAACAAAGTTTTATGTGACACTGAGGTTTCTTAATGGAAGCAAAACCACTTATGACAATACTGATATGATACAGACTGTTACAGGGTAGATATTTTTGAGTTTAGTATGCCAGTTATCCTTCACTAGTTGGTATTTCAATTTGCACTGGGACAGCATAGCATTTACATATAATGTGAAGGGTTTTTCTTGCACTTTAGTCCAAAGTTGAAGTAGGTGTTGCCTGACATTGCTGCTAGGCAACTAAACACAGATACAAACCCAGGAACTAAAATGATAAATGTATTGGATTAATACTGGGTAAACAAACCTCATCTGCATATACCAAATCTGTCTATAGAGCATATATTCTATTATGCTTTTATGTATTATAGATCATGTTCCTATACTATTTCTGTGTACATATATCAAAATGATAAAAAAATATTCAAATTCTTAAGAGTAAAATACCCCCAAAAGTTAATTCTAATGTAAAAAAAATTAATAACACCATATAGGTTTGTCTGCTGAATTCAATGCCCTTACCTTAAAGCTAAAATCCTTCTAAAATGGTTTCTAAAACTTTTGTTTATTAAATATTTACTAAAAATTATAGACTATGCCAAATTTCCTCAACACTATTTCATAAAGCATGACATTAGGGTGCTGGAGATTTAGCTCAGTGGCACAGCACCTGCCTGGCAAGCGAAGGTCGTGAGTTTGATTCCCGGTACCGGAAAAAAAAAACAAAAAACAAAAAACAACAACAACAATAACAAAAAAAGCATGACATTAAAAGAAACTAAACCACTTAGTTTTTTAATACATGCTCAACTATAGGTGATAAAAATTAATAAATCATACTGTTAGAGAAAAATCACATGCAAATACAGACTATATATTTCAAATGTAACAAAACAAAGCTTTCCATTAAAATGTTATCAAATTACTTCCTAAAAAAGATACCGGAAAAAGCTGCACTTTAAAGATAAAACATTCAAGGAATTGTTTCTCTGAAAATATTTACCAAGTTCATCTTATATGCATGTGTATGGTAAATATTACAAAAAAAGCAAATGCAAAAAATAGTCCTTGCCTTCCCAGCTCACATAGTCCAGTGCTAGATGACAGCTCAGTGGAAGAGTTTATTGGAAGAGTGGCTGGAGAAGATTCTAGAAAGGTTTTTGCCTACTGGGTTTTATAATGGCTTTCATTGAACATATTTACACTATCAGGCCATCTTTGCATCTCTGAATTAATCCCTTCCCATTTTCTTCCTTAAGTTAGACAAACATTTTCAGAAAAAGTGAGGTACTGATCTGACATAACAGCTATAAACACTAAGAAAATATTTTTTATGCAGAAAAAATTAAAAGAATTGTTTCTACAAATTGAGAGAAAATGCAAGTAGGACATCCTTTACAAGTATTTAAAAATTTTAATTCAGTTTATTACTTTATTAACTGAGAAGTTGTAAAACAGTTCAACAACATACAGTTCTAGACGGCTGTAATCCCAGCACTCAGGAGGCTGAGGCAGAAGGATCATTGTGAGTTCAAGACCAGCCTGGGCTACAAAGTGAGCTCAAGGGCAGCCTGAACTGCATAGTGAGATCCTGAATCAAAAAAAGATCGGAAAAAAAAACATATAGTTTTAGATATATAAAGTTTCAGTGGATCTGCTTAAGATCACACATTCAAGCAATGTAAAGATGGGTAGACGGGGACATATAGATGGATAAAATCAAACAATGATAATCTAAATTATTTAAGTCAAAAATGAATGATAGGAAAAACAGGTAATTACATGTAAAACAATGAAACTAGACTCTTAGATTTATTCCATATTCAAAAATTAACTAAGAATGGATTATAGACAAGAACATAAGATCTGAGATTGCAGATTCCTAGAATAAAACGTGGTGCTTTATGACATTGATTCGGCAATGGCTCCTTAGCTAAGACACAAAGGCACAGGTAACAAAAGCAAAAGCAGGTAAGTGGAACTACATTAAACTCACAACCTTCTGTATCACCCCACAGAAAATAAAAAAGCAAGCAACCAAATGGGAAAAAATAATTTGCAAAGCACCTGTCTAATGAGATTACAGAAAAAATTTTAAGAACAAGTCAATTAGAAATGGGCAAATAACACAAGTAGACATTTCTTCAAAGAAGATACACAAATGTCTGACAAATATATGAAAAGATGCTAAATATCACTGAACATTAGCGAAACACAAACTGAAACCACACTAGGATAACATCTATCACCTAATGGCACGATTGCCGTTTTGTAATATAGCATAGAAAGTGACGGCAAGGAGTTATGCACTACACCTGGAAATATAAAATGGTACAAACACTGGAAAACAGTATAGCGTTTCCTCAAAAAGTTAAAAATAGAATTGCCATCTGATCTAGAAATTCCAACTCTAGGCATATGTACAAAGTAACGGAAAAGAGAATCTTGAAGAGACACATGGTTATGTATTTTTACTGCATGTTTCATTTTCCTGCTTCAAGAAGTAGGAGACCTAAAGGTTCACTAATGGATAAATGGATAAAGAAACTGTCCACACATATAACAGGATATTACTCAGTCTTAAAAATTAAAACATGGATGGACTTCAAGATGTTATACTAAATGAAATATGACCGTCACAAAGCTAAATACTGCATGCTTCTACCAAGTGAAATACCTAAAATAAACTCTTAGAAACAGAGAGTAGAATGATGGCCAGGGGCTTGGCAATGAGGAAATGGGTATTCGGTGTTAACAGTGTCTCAGTTTTACAGGATAAAAATGTTCTAGAGATACACGATATAACAAGTATATAGTGTCAACAGTGTTATACTGTACACTTACAAATGGTTAAAATGGTAAAGTCTGTGTTCTTTCTTAACAGAAAAAAAGTGGTAAAATTGGAAAAGAACACTTAAACTTCTCTGTATCACGCTATTCTACATATTGGACTTCATTTAGATACAAAAGAAGTTTCTAACGGGTTTTATATAGATAGCTGTTGCTGAGGTTTTAGGAAGCCTGTACCGATTATCACTTGAATGTAACTCATGACCCAGGTTTTAGACTCTCCGTTATCGTCTTACCTCATATGTGATCTTCAAGCTTGACTGCAATAAAATAGGAGTAAAGTTTGGATGAACTTCTGCAGTGAGCCAAAGACGGAAAGTATCTTTAGGTTGAAGAGTATTCAGTTCCTTGTTTACAAAAATAACAATAACAAGTTATTTAACGTGCAATACATATTCCTTTTTAGCAATCTATTATTAATCAGTTTTTCTTATCAAAAATTTTCAGTGGCATTTGGATATATTTTTTCTGTGACATTCTGATATAATGCTCTGATTAAATTTCATTTAAATTTTTACGTTCTTTATTATTAGCTTAGCAATGAATGAGAACTTGGACCTGAAGCCAACTTCACTGAGTTAAAGTCCAAACTTTGCCACTTATTTGCTGTGCGATCTCGTGCTCTATGACGTACTGCTCTGAGGCAGAATAATAACCCTACCTACGACATAGCCCTGTATAAAACACTTAGAACAATGTCTGAGATGCAGTAAGCACAAAGTGTTAGCTATCACTGCTATGCCTAAACTAGCTGTTACCACCAGGGCTTTAGATTCTCACTATTTCAGTTCATGCTCCTGCAGAGTTACATGATACCAATTTCCTTACTGGCAATTTTTAGTAGTACATTTGGCCCGTAAGAATTTCTTTTTTTCAGTGCTGAGGATCAAAGCCAGAGCCTCACACATGCTAAGAAACAGCTGGACAACTAAGCCACATCGCCCCAATTATACATTCAAACCACTACACAAATTTATCCGCCCATACCCCTCACATTACACACTTAGGTCATCTACTCAGATTTCACATTCCTCCTGTCCTCTTTTCTCTTTGTAACCTAACAAACTCTTACTCATTTGTCGGAAAGCAGCTTAATTATGTTTCAAGGCAGTATCTTCTCTAGTTTTGCACTAGCACAATTCCAAGCAGGATCAACCACTCACGCTCTTCTGTAAATGCTCTTCTGTAGTGCAGTCTGTATGAATGGAATCTGCCTTTTCTAAACTGCACTGCAGAAAGCAGATACATATTCTGCATGCAACCGATACCTAGCACAATTCCTACCTTCTTCTGTACTCACCACCTGTTTGTTAATCAAATGAATGAATGAAAAAAATAGCTAATAGTATCTCCAAAACAGAGCAGTCTTAATTTTTTGCTACCATGTATGTCTGACACTAACATTCCTTATTGATATCATTTAAAATGTATGTAAAATGATCAAAATATGGAATAGTGGCTATAAAAACACTGTGCTTGCTTAAAACTGTAAATGATAAAATGTATTTACATCTCAACCTTAAAATGTAACATTTATATAAAATTTTGCCTTGGACTATCACATCTAAAAACTTTAAAAAGACAAATAATCTTTGTGATAAAGTTGGGTTTACAACACATTAGTAATTTATATTCAAACAACTCATCCAAAGTTTCTAAGAAGAGCAAATGGAAAAAAAAAGAAGAAAAATTTCTTTTTAAACTTTTGAAATACAGCCTACCCTACATATCCTTCAAAAAGTCCTAAGATTTGCTTTCAAGGTATTGACTAAAATTATATTTTACATAGATTAATAGCTATCAATTAACTATTTACAACCAAAGCAAGATTCAATTATTCCCTGGTCTTCATCATGTTTTAAAATATATAAGAGAAATTAGATAACCAACATCTTACACAATAGCATCTAGAAAAATGAAACAGGAATCAATTTAATGAAAGGAGTGAGAGACCTTTACATTGAAAACTACAGTATTCTGAAAAAAGGAGATCAAAGAGGATACTACAAAATGGAAAGATATCGCCTATTCTTGTAGAGGCAGAACCAATGTAGTTAAAATGGCCATACTTCCAAAACTGTTACACAGATTTAATGCCATCCTACTCAAAACACCAGTAGCATACCTCACAGAACTACAGAAAACAATCTTAAAATTCCTATGGAACCAGAAGAGTCTTAGAATATCAAAAGCAATTCTGGGCAATGAAGGCAAGGTAGGGAGCATCACAATCCCTGATTTGAAGACATACTACAAAGCTACCATGATAAAAACAGCATGGTACAGGCAAAGAAACAGAAACAAACAAACAAAAAGAAAACAAATGCAGGTGAGGCTGTAGGAAAAAAGGAATCCTTCTCCTTTATTGGTAGAAGTGTAAACTAGTACAACCACTGTGGAAATCAGTGTGGAGATTTCTCAAAAGAGGTTCTAGGTTCTCTAAACCTAGAGGTTCCAGTTGACCCAGTCATTCCGCTTGTAACTATTTTCCCTAAAGAGTTCAAAGCATTACACCACAGTGTTATGTAAACACCTATGTTTATAGTAGCACAATTTATAATTGCTAAATATTAGAAACAGCCCATTTTCCCATCAACAATGAATGGATAAAGAAAATGTGGTTTTTCCCTGTGGAAATTAGTTTGGAGATTCCTCAGAAAACTAAGACTAGAGGTCCCATTCAACCCAGCTATTACCCTGCTGGGTATTTTCCCAGAAGATCTAAAAACATCATATCACAGCGATATATGTGCACCTATGTTCATAGCAGCACAATTTGTAATTGCTAAATTGTGGAAGCAACCCAAATGTCCATCCACTGAGGATTGGATAAGAAAATTGTGGTACTTTTATATAATGGAATATTACTCAGCTATAAAGAAAGATAAACTCTAGGCTTTTATAAATAAATGGTCACAACTACAGACTACACTCATAAGTGAAATAAATCAGACCTGCATGTGCAAGCACCACATTGTCTCACTAGTGTAAAATCTGAAAGAGTTAATAAAAACTCAGAGGTATGATAGACATTGTGAAATGATAGGAAAACGCCCAAGGGTAAAGGGTAACTGGGATGTGGGAAAAGAGAGGGAAAGAAGGAGAAATTCTGTATGTATGTATATACAGGATAGTTAACATAGTTGATCTACTGTCTTCTATTTCTTTGCTGAAAGAAATTGTTAATGAGTCCTTGATTGATCAATATTGCATGTCTGTATTTGTTTTCATGAGAAACCACTTTGAAGATATCAATATGTAATACAACAAGCATTGTTAATTTCCTACCACTTTGTTTGTAACTCTGTATTGTCTGTACTGTTCTTTTGCTATTTTGTAAAATATTGTCTGTCTGTTAATGTTTTCCTCCTTTTATTTTTAAAATAAAAAAATGTTTTTATACATAATGGAATACTACTCTGCCATTAAGAAGGATAAATGAGATATTCTTATAAAATAAGAATGGAGGCACTTTGGGATCATAATTTTAAGTGAAATAAATTGTACACATGTTTCATATTGCATTGTTTCTTTTCTGTGAGAAAATCCAAAGAATAAATAAGGAGCAAAATGGAGGGTAGGTATTGGGAAACTGCAGGAAGAATATGTTCCAATGGGAAGGTGAGCAAAGAAAGTGGGGTGGAGAAAGGGAAGAAAGAGAACAGGGGTTGAAAAAGGAAAAGGTGGAAACCAAGTTTTTGTATATGGGGAGGGGAAAAAGTTGAAGGGGGAGGAGAGGAATGAGAAAAAAATTAAGATACCTTATGTACAGATATTAATTCCCTATACTGAATGTGATCATTATGTATGGCAAACATGTACTGATAAAAGTTAATAAAATAAAATATATGATTCAGACGTGAATTTTACATTAACACACTGGTGACTTTTATAGAAAACTATAAAATCATTATATATTCATGTATAGCTCAGTTCCCTAATTTATATGTTGGGATTGTAAGTAATGAAACATCATAGCCCATCATTCATTAACTTGGGCAAGAGCTCGTGCCAAGATTTACTGAATACCTATTTTGTACACCATGCTCTACTTGCCAGTTTATCAGGACTGCACAAATTTTTAACACCTCACAGCTAGGATAGACCTGCCCTCAATCTACTCTGGCTCTATTTTGTAAACAAGTATGGCCAGACTAATTCAATTTATTAATTACTAAGCACTCTGGCAAAGACGTCTCCTGGGTAAGTGGCAAGATAAAAACACTGTACTCTGCACAGCTCTCCCGATATTCCATAACCTAGGCTGTTCCAACTCCTCTCACTGCATCTTCTCCCACTGCCCTGCCTGACCCTTTCAGTAGTCAAGGGCAGGTTGTCAGTCCGTGAACTCGGCATGTACGTCTCTAACACTGCAGCTCTACTTGTGCTGCTGAAATTAGCCATAGTAAGCTTTGTCTACACTTAGCTAAGCTCCATTCACCATAAGGAACACCTTGTTCTTGAAGTCTGCTCTATGCAAGACCATATCTTTCTTATGTAAGCACCAGACTAGTATAAATAGGTCTTCTACAATCATCTACAGTTCCACTATTTCCTTTTAGAAAAATTCTCCAAGCTTCTCTTTCAACTTTGCTAATAATTCTTAGCTTTGCTTAGATCTGCCTAAGACAAAGTTTTATACACTTCCTATTAAAAGGCCCATCTTGTTTTGCACTAATGTATTTTTATTGAAGACATGTTTAAAATTATTATCAATTGCTAACTTTTAAAAACAAAATGCATAAAATTTGCATATAGATCACTGAACGTAAAGATCACTGAACTTATACAATATATGTAATTTATACCACATTTATCGGAATCTACCTTTTCCAGAACTGGCAGCCAAGATACCACAAGATGTAAGTTTTTCAAACAGAGCCAGTCTCCATTTTTGGCACATTCTTTTAACATCTGGATTGCTAAATCAGCTTGGCCTTGACCCATGGCAACCTACGGAAACGAAAAATGAAAGGTCTGCTAACATGTTGTAACACTGTAAGAGAGTAATAAAAATGATAAACTCTAAACTTCCCTTACTGGTTTTAATATCAAGTTATGAAGAAGAACTAAACTAATACAAGGTTTAATCGTCTTCTCTAAGAACATGAGTTTAAGGATTTCTATGCATAGTTTAATCTCCTCGCCAAAGTTACTGCTACTGGATACAACCTGCAGAAAAGGGCTGCTTGCCCTCAAACACCTCACTGATAATTGAACACTGTTCTAATAAATATTCTAACACACTATGCCAATGATTGAATGGAATGCCCTATTGTAGGTGAAAAACTGTTCATTTGAGTTTAACTACTTTGCTATCTTAATATCTATTTTGCTTTGTGAAATTCTTATTTTTCAACTTTTGCCTGCTATGAAATATTTGGGTTATTTTTGGAAAAAATTTGAATCGTTATTTTCCTAGCCAGAAAGGTTAATATATTCACTCACAAAAAACTGAGGATAAACAAATTTAATTTCCAAACTCAGTTGTAAATTAACTTGAAAAAGAGGCAAGCTGAACAAATAAAACCTTCCACTCAGGAAAACATTACACTGAATAAACTTTAAATAATGTATTTCTTTCACTTTAGGTTAATATTTTGCAGGTAAATATTATAATAATTTATTGTAAAGGCATCCAAGTAAAATTTTAAAAGATATTCTCAAGATATAAGCAAATGTATCAGTTTCCTGTTGCTGCTGTATCAAGTTACCACAAATGCAGTAGTTTAAATTGAATTATTATTTTAGATTTCCGGAGGTTTTCACAATCTGAACTGAGGTGTCTGGATTTGAAAATAAATGTAGTAGTATGTGGCTGTTTCTTTTCTATTTTTATCCTGGCCTTTTCCAGCTTCTGGAAGCCACTTACCTTCCTTTACAACAACTTAGTCCATCTTCAAAACCAGTAGCACCGTATCTTCCTTCCTCTCTGACTTCTACTCCATCTTCCTGTCTTGTACCTTCATTACCATTGGCCCGCTTCTCTCTCTCTCTCTCTCTCTCTCTCTCTCTCTCTCTCGCTCTCTCTCTCTCTCATAAAGATGCTTGTGATTATTACTGGGCCCACCTGGATAATCCAGGCAAAATCCTTAACTATATCTGCACAGCTATTTTTGCTGTACAACATATTCCTAAATTCTGGGGACTGGAACGTAAGACACCTTTCAGGGCTTTACTGGCCTCGCACAATAAAAGATGTCCATTTCACTAATCAGATCTATTGCAGCAGGAATAACAATGGAAGCAGGGTGATCTGGACTCACCTGATGATAACACTCTCCACTTCTTTCAGCATTAGCAAGTTCTTGAAGTTCCTGAGAAGGATCAGCACCCGGAGAAATAATTATCAAAATGGGCTCAATTTCCAGTGTCTCTCTGTATAAACGTTTGAGATTTAAAGGAAGTGGTGATAATTCTTTCAGCCCTACAAGACATGGTAAAGGAATTTAAAAAAAAAGCAACACGCATCATAAAAAGTCTTTTAAAATAATGGCATAATACATATAATAGAGAATACTTGGGTACATTATAATCTTATATATTCAAAGTTTTCACTCTAAAACCATTCACATACTAATAATAATTATAAGTAATATTTATTGAATGCTTAGAGTACCAACCATTTTTTTTTTTTACTTTTTTTCTATACAAGGTCTCACTACGCAGTTCAGGCTGGCCTCCAATTCATAGCGGACCTCCTGCCTCAACCTTCTGAGAAGTACTTGGATTACAGGCGTGCACCACCACACCTGGGTCGATGTGCCAATCACTATTCTAAATACTTGCCACGTTCATCATCTTCTAATCACTGCGCTGCTACTACCCCGAATGCCACAGATGAAGACTAGACAGCCAGCACTGTTGTCTCACTGCGTATTGCTCTCCCTACAGGAGAAGGCTGACCCCTTCCATCTAACTATCCATCTCACTGATACCGTTTATTACTTTATACACTAGCTAAGAAGCTTCTCTGTGCCATGCAGATGGCGGAACTGGTTTAAGTCGTGTAGTGTTATGTCTTGGGTCAAGAACGACTCCCCACACTGTCGGAGCTCAGAGGTGGGGCTTCGGGAAAGCAATAGGGGCGCCGTCAGGCAGTGGCACCCGGGCAGGAGCGGGTCACTTGGGGCCTGACCTGGCAGTGCCTCCCTCCCTGGCTCCTCCCTTCTCTCTCTGCTCCTCCTCCACTATGTCCCTCCGCCACGCTATTCCTGCCTTGCGGCCACCCAGCCAGAGACTGCACCTCTGAGCCAAAATAACACTCTCCTCTTTTAAGTTGTGGGTTCGGGTATTGGTCTCAGCAATGAGGAAAGTGATTAAGACATCGGGGCAAATAATTTCACTGTCGTGATATAGGATGGTCATCTCTTGTGCCCACCATAGTAAGCAGAACAGAAAATAAAAAGAATGATTACTTCAGAGATGGAACTATGCCAGTGTCAGTATATGTTTACTGGCCGAGTGACCCTATACAAATCACCATGAGCGATGAAACAGTCCAGAGGTCCCTTAGGAGCAAAGTAAGCTGCATTATAATAAATACCATTCATTCATCACCTACTCTCTGCTAAGATTACACCAACTCCATCCTAGTTTATTTCCTTGCTTTATAAATAATACAACAACCATGAAAAACAAATACCACTGTTCATTTACATGTAAGAAAACTAATAATGCTCAAAGAAGTTGCATGTCTTGCCCAAGGGTCCCCAGCTGCTAACTGCTTACTGTGTTCCAACACAATTCATCTGTGCTTTTTCTACTTTGCAGCCACCACCAACTACTGTACAGTGCTATTTGAATAAGAACTTATAATTATCCTGTTATACTTAAATCTCTTCTGCTAAAATTTGAGTGTTTCCATGATTAACATATTTAGGAAGAAGGCCTGTTTCAATGAAAACTTGCTGGAATTTCTGTTGTACATTTTACTGTACTGGTCTGAGTTGAGCTAAAAAAATACCATGCAAAATTTAAAATAAATAGAGGAGGAGGAGAATATAATGTCCAACAGAACTACTGCACAGGCAAGAGGGTTTCTACACATTCTCCAAAGTAGAAATGAATATCCTTATTTTGCCCTTTAATTTATATTTGGGGTTCTCATGTAAGAGAAATCCTGCAGTATCTATGCTTGTGTGTCTGATTTATTTCACTTAGTAGTACGGTCTCAGGCTGCATCCATTTTCCTACAAATGACTCAATTTCATCCTTTATAGCAGACTAGCACTGCACTCTGTTGATGGACATACAGGCAGCTGTCAAGATCTAGCTATTATCAGTTGCGTGCTATAAATATGGATACAGATGATAAGAAACAAGGACACAGATCTGCAAAAGGGAAGAGGACCAAAATGGAGAGAAGAAAGAAGGTAGAGAAAAGGGATAAAAAAAAGAGTAAGATGTGTTATGTGTTAACTCCCTGCGGTGAATGTATCATTCATTCTGTACTAAAACATGTACTAAGAAAAATATTTTTGAAAAAGTAGAAATAAATAGACAGGATTGCACCTCAAACACAGATATTCTTAAGATATTTGTAGCAAACATATTATGCATTCAATGCCATTGAAATGGGCAAAAAAAGGTATTTCTAGGTGTGAAAAACCTTTCACACCTCAAACACCATTCTCTATTCTCCACAACAGCAATATATAATGGTAAGGAAGAATTTTCAAAGGGAGAAACAGTCCCGCTAACAAGTGAAACTTACCCTCAATAGTCACTTGAAATTTATGCACTGCTTATTGAGGCATATTTTATGAATTATTTTGACTTAATTTTTTTTTTGCACTGCTAGGGATTAAACCCAGTGCCTCCTACGTGCTATACAAGTGTTCTGCCACTGAGCTACATCTCCAGCCCATGAATTTTATTTTTTAACTAAACTTAAATTGCTAACAGTCACGGTTTGGAGAACCAAAAAAAATATTATGTACTGATTATAGTGTAATGAGAAATATTTTTAATCATTCAAGCAGTCATTCATTTATTTATAAACAATAAAGATTCCAAGCCAATTAAATATGTTGTCTTATTTAATAAAGCATTTCAAACCCTTAAAAATGTGCATGACCTTGACTCAGCAACTACAATTATTTAAGAAGTCAGGATATGGACATAGACCAGGTATAAATGCTTCCACTGTAGCCGTTGATATTAGCTAAAAACTGGGGAAAGATTTTAAGTTTCTAACAACACGAGTCTGCATGTATAATTCTCAATAGCTAAACAAGGAACTGAAGTTACAAAAATGTTGATGTAAAAGATAATTTACTGAAAAACTAGATTATTCAGTGAGATAGGCAACATTCTAACGTATGTACATCTAGGTGCATAAAAGGACTAGAAAGACAGAGAAATGTTAATATTACTAAAGCTGAATCATGGACTAACAGGTGTTTCTTATATTCTTTTCATTCCTCCCTCTTCTGATTGCTGTAATTAGTGTCTCTTATATGATTAAAATGTCACAACATAACGATACTTTCATATAAAATAACTAGTGGAACATACGTTACTTGGAAAATATATGCCAATATAAAAAAGATTTTAAAAATGTAGATGATCGTGGCATTTCTTAATTTAACGAATAGAGTGGAAACTTCACAAGGGCAGGTATCATTTTGTTTTGTTCACCTGATATTCAAAGCCTAATTTAATTCAACTATAATGCCAATTTCACCATAAAAGCTAAACCTATGTTTGTTAATTCATTTTATATAATATTTGAAAGCCAGGCAACACTTTAAACTAGAGATTATTTTTTCAGTTCTAGGACCTACTGAACTTAGGACCTATACCCTGACCTACATCCCTAGTCCTTGTTATTTTCTGACACAAGGTCTTGCTAAGTCAGTACTCTGGGCTTGAACTTGCAGTCCTCCATTTAATATAATACAAGTGCCATTAGCGTTACTTGGAATTACACACTAGTCATGTGTCCACGAAATTCCAATAACTTGTCATTGTAGTTAAGCAAACTGTATATTCACTTATTTTACTAACCCAAATAATTTTGACTCATGATATCAAGACTACTGTCAGGGTATATCATTCAAAATTATTTAATAAAGTTGTTAGAAAGTGAAAAAAAGTTAATTGCATTGTGAAATCATGTACATGTGCAAATCATATTCTGAACTGGTCCTTTATGATAAATATATTTCCTTTGAAAAAAGAGCTAAAAAATGTCAAAGGAATAACTTACCAGTTTATTTTATTTTACTTAGATAAAATACTGTGATAATTAAAAAGAAATACTTAGCAGTTTATAAACTAAAGATTATTACTTCTATATTTTCCAGGTACCTCAGTAAAGAAAGTTGCCCAATTAATATTAATCTCCTACAGGTAGTATGTTTAACGATTCATTTTCTTTATTCATCATATCCTCCCTTACTGTATCAGGTATACAAAATTATCTCGCTTTTCTTAGGAAAGGCAACTGTCAAAATGAATCATAAATACCAATAAAAAGGAAAACTAACAACCACTGTTTAACCCAAAAAACGTGCCAATTAAATAGGGAAATATTTTTTTTAAATGGAGTAAAGCTCAACATGAGAATCAAACAAAAAGTCATTCTGTGGAAAGCAGAATTTTACAGGTATCTCTTAAGATTCTGAAGCCTTGATGATTCAACCAAACACTCAATTGGGTGCTCCTGTAAAAGGACATCGCCGCTCTGACTGACCTAATCCTTTGTGTCCTTAAAAAGCAGAGGCTCCACTGCATGGGGTCACAGATGCGCAGGAGAGTGCAGCAGGTGTGCTCAGACAGACGGGAAAGCCAGAGACATGTGAAGCATGAAAAGGAATCACTGCCTTATTCCTGGCTTTATACCAAAGGATACAGGCTGCCTCTACAACGAGTGACACCAAACAGTGGGAAGGAAACAGGAACCTCAGTCCTACAACCCCAGGGGGCTAAACCTGAGTGGCGTTTGGAAGCAGATTTCTCCCAGAGCCTCTCTTGTGAGAGCTCCAGTGGCCAACCTAGATTTAGACTAACAAATGGTGTAAGAAGACCGTGATAATAAGTGGGTATTGTTTTTAAGCTGATAAATTTACAGCAACAGTAGAAATTCAATGTATATTTCCTATGCCACTCCTTCCTCTCCCAGGTACGCTTCACATACAGGTCCAACAACGGACGCAACACACGAGATGAGATGGCAGCACGGACAGGAGAGGAACAGGACTGCAAAGCAAGGAGAACTGCACGGCTCAGGAAACCTTTCTGACGGAAAGCACGAAAGGTCTTTTAGTTTCTGCGGCTGTGCAGCACCTGGGGGCAGCACGTGTCTTTATATCTGTGGTACTTCACTCCACACCACACAACATCCTTCTCAGAACATGAGAATTAAATCAGAATTAAATACAGAAGTCAGGAAAGCTGCACCTGGTACCACTATCTTTAAAA